CTTGGAGGAGCTGATCTGTCAACTTCTTGATGCATTCTCAATCATCCAGGAAAATAAATCTCCAAAAGTTGATTCTGTTCATCTGGATGTAGCGTTTTCTGGGAGAAACGTTTCGTCACTCATCCAAGTGACTTAAGAAGTCACTTGGATGAGTGACGAAACGTTTCTCCGAGAAAACGCTACATCCAGATGAACAGAATCAACTTTTGGTGATCTGTCAACTGATCACCATCTTCTGCTTAGTTGGATCAGGTGACAGGGGAAGATGCTGGACAGACCTGGCATACCCAAACATGTAGTGAGGTTACGCTGGGAACATCTACCAGAGCCCCAGCCCGTGAGAACTTCATTTCCCACCTCGGCAGAGCTTTGATTGAATTCCAAGGATTTTGGTGAGACCCTGGAACAAGACTTTCAGTTGACCTCAAAGCAAGCTCAGAAGAGGGGGATGAAGGTGCTCTGCTGTTTTCAGTGCAGCACAGCCTGTGGATGGAGTCAAGTGGCAGAAGGAATAACTCGAGTGTCTCCCCAATCCTGTAATGGGAGCAGAGGCTGAAGATGGGAGATTTCCTTCCAGCTTACACCAACATGCTTGCTTATAGGGGGTCATATGATTGTTGGGGTTTTCTCTGTTGTTCTTGTATTATTGTAGAGTCCTTATCTTACAATATAAAGCGCCTTCAGGCAACTATTGTTGTGATTTGGCACTATATAAATAAAACTGAACTAAACTGAATTGAATTGGAGTAGGGTGCTTTCTGGATGCATCCTAAGTTAGGTGTTTCAGGCATGTTTTATTGGGAGGACTCGTTGGAGAGATTATATGCAACCCTAACCCAGATAAGCAGTAGAAAATGGATGAATGGATGAATAATATAATGAATAATAATAATACGATGGTGCTTTTTCACAAGAAGCTATTGCTAACTTTGTAAAACATAAACTATTTTAAGTGATTTTATTTTTAAGGCACTTTGTTACTTACATTTACATATTTTGAGCATGATGTGTACTTATAATGTAAACCGTAAATTTCACACTTCATGAATCTACAAGAACACAAATTAATGCACAACAAATTATGCATTAATTTTCCATTTCTATTAATTACATATTTAATCAATTATCTAATTGTTTAATAATACACTTAAGTAATGAATTATTTCAAAATGATAAATAATGAAGTAGCATAATTTTAATGAATTATCTTTCTAGTCTCTAGTATTTAAGTAAAATTTATTACTATTATTTATTAAGTTTATAAACTTAAAGTTTATTTAAGTTTTGCAAGTTTGGTTATTCACCCTCAATGTTTCACACCGCGTCATTTCCTGTTTACTTTTGTGTGTCATTGCTGCAACAGGAGTAGCAGTGCTAACAGGTTAAACATAGATCTGATTTATCCAAACTTCTTTGTTTAATTCTGCACTTTGCATTCTCATACAGTGCTGATTAAAAGCAAGTCAGACAACACTGAAGGATCAGTTTCTTACTCTTTCAGTTCCAGTATAAACAAATGGTTCTGTTATGAATTTTATAAGCCCACTTTGAGAAGGTGGGATGGCCATGTTAATATTTAGAAGTATATTTTGTAACTGAGTTTAAGAATTCTGTTTCAGAGCTGATAAAATAGGCTACTATGCAAATATAACCACACTCATTCAGCTGTATAATGTGCAGTACTGCAGAGTATGGATAATGTGACAACAACATAGCAATGAACAGCACAGGTGAAAAAGTAGCTTTGAACACCAAGTAAGCGTACACAGCTGAGTATCTGCACAACTTCCAGAAATCCTAAAATCTCAACACCATCACACTCTTGGAATTAAATTCCTTATATACCCAGTATGAACCTTCCAGATCCCTCAGGTCATCTGGATCCGGTCTTTTATCAGTTCCCAGAGTCAGAACCAGACACGGAGAAGCTGCATTCAGCTTTTATGCTCCTTATATCTGGAACAAACTCCCAGAAAGCCTCAGATCAGCTGAAACACTCAGTTTATTTAAATCCAGCTTGAAGACTCACCTGTTCTCAGCTGCATTTGAATAAAGCACCAAATCCACACTTTTAAGCTTAAATTCCAAAACTTACATTTTAACTACTGATTTTATCTGTTTTGATTTTATCTACTGTTTTGTTTGTTTGTTTGCTTGTTTTAATCAATTTTAAATCACGCTTTTTATTTGTTTTTGTTTCTAATGTCTCTGTAAAGCACTTTGAATCACCTTGCTGTTGAATTGTGCTATACAAATAAACTTGCCTTGCCTTGCCTATATCTAAAGTCCGCAACCCGCCTGTGTAGCGCTTAAGAGGCACATAGACAAAGAAGTCATCACACATGCATGCTGCAGCAGATCCACTCTCTTGCGAGTAATTATTCTCGAAGATTAAGGATCTTTAAAAGACGGCGACTGGACTTGAAGATGTTTCATTTCTTATGCGAGAGGCTTCTTCAGTTTAGTTGCCTTGGATAGATTAAGGTTTACTATTATGTGTACATTTTACTGTGTGCACTTCCTTCAATTCAAGTCGTGTTCTTTTCAAGCTCCTTAGACTGCCATAAACTAGATGAATGAAAACCTACATACATATTCTCAAAGATTAATTCTGCTCAAACCGACTGACTTTTGACACGTTTGACCCTTTCGAGGTATAACTTATACCAAGTTACACCAGAGTAGCAACATATGCACTGCTTAAACCACACTGAATTGAATTTTGTTGAATTTGATTTAATTATCAATAAATTAAAAATGTATTGTTTGCTGTGTAGCAGTGGAAATACTCTCACTGGATTACGTTAATGCTGAAGAAAGCTTTTAAGACAAGTCCTGAAGCCTCTGCACTGCTGTCACATTAGTCTGTTATTAGTCAGGCATAACACTGACATAACACTGACCACTGACAGCTGAAGTAAATAACACCGATTATCTCTTCATCATGGCACCTGTGGGATATATTAAGGAGCAAGTAAATTTTATTCCTAAAGCTGATGCATTAGACCCAAGAAAAATGGACAACTGTAAGGATGTGAGTAAGTTTGACAGAGGCCAAATTGTGACAGCTAGATGACAATGGTGCGTTGGTCACTATCTATCAAATGTGGTTTGCAGAAGGAACAGTGGTGAACCAGTGATAGTATGATGGGATGCCAAAGCTCAAGCAAAGGCTGACCCTCATCTTCAAAGACAGTGTGATGCTTTGGGTAAGGCTCTCCTGGGAAACCTTGGGTCCTGCCCTATCGATGTTACTTTAACGTGCACCATCTGCCTAAACTTTGTTACACACTTTCATGGAAACTGAACTACCTGAGGGTTGTGAGTCTTTCAGCGATAATGTTTCCTGCCACAAAGCAAAAAGGGTTCACGAATAGTTTGAGGAGCACAAGAAGTTTGAGTTGTTGACTTGGCCTCCAGATTCTGCAGATCTCAATACAAATGAGCATCTGTGGGATGTGCAGGGATGGAGGCCTCTGCTCGCAACTTACGGGATTTTAAGCATCTGTTGCTAGCTAACAATTTGAAAATCCTCGGTGACTTCCTTCTTGAGTTATAACATTCACAAGATTTTCAGAAGACTTCAGTGTGACGACTACACCTTGTCAGCCTCTTAAAGTTGAGGGGTAAAAAGGCAGCATACGTAGCACCCAGCAGCTACAGGACAGTGTGTCATATAGTTATGATTTGCACAAAATATTAGCAACAACCTTAACTGTTTTATCAGACGCTAGTTTATACTGCCTATTCTAAGTAGGGTTGGGCATATGTAAAAATTTTCCAGTCGGCAATCGTCAGTCCAACAATCATCGATAGGCGATATATTCGCGCATGCGCAGACTTTTTGATGGGCGGGGCAACGTAATCATACACGGACTGATTTGCGCGTTTACAAAACAGAAGAAGTCCAAATGGACGAACTAGTTTCCAAAAACAAAAAACAAAACGCTGTCAGCATTAACGCGGCTTAAGTGCGGTCATCACGATACCAACAGTATGTTACATGCAGCACACGTCAGGGGAAGACTCGAGATAAATGCTATGGCTCTGTACCAGATGCATTTATAGCCCTCCCCCCTCTCAG